TTATATATATATATATATTATATATATATATATTAATTACTAACTAGTTTTATCCTGTTTCAGCCACTAATCTGCTCTCGTCTCCAGTGAATTTTTTAAAAGAACTATTTCTTTATTGGTAGTTACCAGGAATCCACTCAACTGGGTTCTCACCCATGTTGAACTTGAATTAAATAGCTGTTGAACATTTTCAAAAGCAGAATCCAATTTTTTGCAGATTTATTTGTTAGGTTGATGTAGGAGGTTTCTTTAATCTTTCTTTTTTCCATGTGTGGTTTTTATCCTATTATTTCAATTAATTGTACGGTCTTTCTTGGCACTATGGGCTATTGCAGATAAAACACTATTACAGTTTTGTATATCTTTTATGTTCTTGAGTTCTTGCTATTATTAGTCTTTTTGTTTCTCCAATGTACTGTAACCAAATTCACAAAGGATGTTGTAAATGGTGTTTTTCCTCTTCACTAGGTCTTTAAATGGTTTGGCTTGTATTAATTGTGATCCTATTGTGTTGAGGCTTCAACTTAATATTCCAACTTTATGTTGTTTACATATTCTCTGCATTCTTTCAGAAAGACCTCTGACATAGGTGGAATATGGTTACGTGCCTGTAATTTTTTTGTTATTTATCTTCCTTATTTTATTCTTTATCAAGCATTCTAGGCATCCATTGTTAAGGTGGGTTGTAGTAATGTGACCCCCCCCCCCCCAGATTCTTTGTTATTACTCATTCTGAAAACTCAGCAGCCTATGATGTCTTTATGCTGTTGGGGTGGTTTGATTTATAGTCAAGGTATTTACCCACATCTGTGGTTTTTGTTTTGTTTTTTGTAAACATCACATCAAAGAATGAAAGTTTCTTTTTTTCTATTTCCATTGTGGCTTGTACCATAGCCTCTGTAATGCCAGTATAATTTTAGTTATATTTTAAAACATTTTATATAAATTTAACCTTGTTCAAAATATAAATAATTTGGCCATTCAAATATCACTTTCTATGTTTAACAGAAATAAATTAAAAATAATATACATAAGAAAATTTATAAAATCTTTCAATAAAAACACAAGATGACAAAAAGATCTTGTCTCATACTGTACTTCCATCAAATAGAAACATAAAACTTACAATATTGTCAAGTACTTTTATGACTTCAGTTATTTTGTATCTTATCAGAATTTAAAATGTAGATTATTATAACTATTATAATTAAAGAAAAACAAATTAAATGTTACTGAAGTACATAATCCATACTTACCTGTAAGATACCTAATAACTATCATACAAAGCATTTTAATGAAGCAACATGTATGCAATAAATATCAGTTACTGGAAGGGTTAAGAACCACCTATGAAAAATAACAAAATTATCTGATTTAGATTTACTTTAAAACTTCAAGAACAGTGATTTGGTAACATTAAAATCAACCAGTTTTGGCATAACTCTATCTAAATTTTACAGAATAGCGAATAAGTTATGCAGAAAATCTGTTAATGCTAACAATTTGCTGACTCAGTAGTGTTTACAGTTCACTGCTTAATTAAATGGTAGGGCTTACTTACATTGATCCCATTTTGAAAACTACAATTTTAATAATTTGAAGACTCAGTTTTATTATTAAAAAGTGTGAAAAGCCCGTTGGTGTTATGTTAAGAGAAACTACAAGCATATCAACACAACTAATTTCATCACTAAAGCTGGTGCTCAGAAGTTGTTGGGAAAAGTTGATTACACTGAAAGATAAATCATGTTGTTTTTTTAATTTACTTACAGTAAGTAACAAACAGAAAAATCTGCAGAACTAACTATTTAAAAACACACACACAAACCAAACAGAAAATGTCTATGTTAAGGTTAGAAAATAAAATATGAAACTACTAATTAAAAATAAAAATTTTCCACCTTCACATATTAAGTGGTGGATCTCATAAATGCTGTATCTATTATGGTCAAAATTTAGGTATGTCTGGCACAGCCTTCAATTGATTACAAACATTTCCTTTTACACTTTTACTTTTTTATGTTAAATATTACAAGGTTATATATATATTCTCATTATAATAAAGTTAAAGATATACTTAATTACATCATAATATTACAGAAAACATTGTCAAACAGACCTAAAACAAAACATCATCAAAGATTAACAAGATGGTTTTAAATTTTATGAATACTTTGAAAAAGCTTCCAATAACTCCACACACAGATATATTTATTTACATATACAACACACATGTATATGTATAAGGTAAATAGTGTTACCTGAAAATGAAATACAGTGAGAGATACATATGTATATGTACATGCATATATGTATATTAACAATATACCTATCAATTTATGTTATCCAAAATACACTCTATATCACAAAGTAAATCTGTAAAGTCAGTCATATAGCAGATCATGTACTAATATGTGCATCAGGAATTATTTAAGATATGCAAAATTATATCTATCTATATATAGTTTAGGTACATCAATTAATTTTTCAACTCCTATGTATTTTATCAATATAATCAGTCACCATTTTCTAACTACAATACCTTTTATAAGATTATTTACCTTCTACTTTGTATGTTCCTCTACCTAGCTTATCTGTAGACACGATATTCTAGAGCCTAACCAGTCCACAGGTAACTACTGCATTTTCTGTAAATGGGGTATATACAGAGATACATATGTGTATCATCAAGCTTTTGTTGGTATCTTGTTACTCAAATCTAGCCAGTTATTAGAAATATTTAGGAATTTGTGGGAGTTATTCTTCAAGTTTCTTGGTAAAATATTTTAATCTTACAACAGCAAGCACTTTACAAAGATTTACAGTACAATGCAAAATTTACACATTTTAAGAAACTGCTTTTACTTGGAGTTCTTAATTTAAAACTTGTAATGAGAAAACACACCTGTGTGAGCAGCAGAAAGAGATGTTTGTGAGCCCAAAGGACTGTGGAATTTCATTATCTCCCAATATTGATGCTAAAGGAATTCCAAAGCATTAAGCTTGGCACCTGCAACTGAAGAAAATTATTTTAATAACTTTTAACAAGTGAAATTCATCTGCATTATTAGTAATTTTTTAAACAACTATATATATAGTTAGTCACTGGTTAGGAAGGTGTTTACATCTTTAAAAGTTTGATCTTACGTATATCCAAGAGTTAAAATATGAATTCAAGAATCCAATTTCTAAGGTTGGAAATCATCAGTTTATTATTATTATTCTCAATATGTAGTAAACCTTGTTTTCCACATACTCCAATCAACCTATTAAAAGTAGCATATTATTAAAATATTTTTATGATTGATTATAAAAACAGAGTGGATAACTTTTTACAGAAATTTCCTTTTAAACTTTTTATGAGAATTCTAGAAATAAAGATCAATAGAAATATACACAAATATTATAATATAGTTTTACATTGTTGAAAGCCAAAGAAATTATGTGAATAAAATTTAGATTCTGGTTATCACAAACCAGTAAGTTGCCAACAGCATATTTCAAAAAAACTAAAAAAGTAAAACAAAACAAACCCATACTTACGGGCTGTGTCTGAGCCTCAAATCAACAATAAGAAAGAGGAATCATCCTATACCTGGCATTATGAGCAGGAAAATAATGATTCTAACTCAACCGTAAGAACAGGGACGAAACATCAAGTACCCAACATTAAGAGAAGGGGGAACAACTGCTCAATCATAGGTATTACGAGGCAGATGAAGTCCCCAAGCTCAACCGTAGGAGCAGGGAAATGAAACATCTTGCAACCAGAATTACCTAGAAGGGGTATCTGCCAGTCTCAACCATACGAACAGAACACTGTCTACCTGAACCCCATATTGATGAGGATCTAGTGTTGGCTGTTCCATCTCTCACCAACATCAGCACACCTGGGATTAAACCTCCAGGGGTAGAGGGAAGGAGGGTTCCCAGCTTTGCCCTCTTCTCGATATAATGGAGTGATATGTAATGTTATGATGTGTATGTTCAAGACTCATGAGGAAGCCTCCATAGTCGACCACCTCAGTGGCTAGGAACTAGGAAATGGCAAAGACTCCCAAACTCCACTCGAGTAAGTAGGAATGTCACACTTGAGAAAGTACTGCAAAACCTTACTTTGAAAAGCAGACCACTCCTGATTTATTCAATCAAAGGAGTTGCAGGGATTGGCAGCAATCCCCTTTTGCTTTACTCATGATAGTCCATGAGTGACAGTCCGCCACGTATTCATCAGAATTCTACAAGCGAGAAATAGATAGATATACTACCAGGTGAGCCTCTAATGATCTTGCAAAACACCCCATCTCAGCACTGTGCATTATAACCTTCAAGGTATTTAGTGCAGGTTTAGAGGAAAGTATACCTGACCAGACAACACTTCCCACTGAGCAGGATTTGAATATATATCAAAGAAAATGGAGACCCCTGAAAGAAACATGACAGAAAAAGGCATTTACCCAAGTTAGAATCAAACCAGTACATGTAGAATTGCCACAGTAGGTAGACGATATCCAGCCATATGGTGTAAATAACAAGCAGCAAAGGTATGGAGAGTAGTCTACATTCCAGGCTGGATGATCTCTTTTAGAGGATGAAGGAGATGAGCTGCTAGAGACATGATGATATGTAGAATCTGATGAGATGAGACAGAATAAAGCTGACACCCTTACAAGGAGAGGAAAGAGTAAACCACTTTAATAAGCTGATGAACCCAACTCGTAAGGGTGTTGGGGGAGAGGTCACGTGACACAGAAGGGTTTCAGGGAATACATAAACAGGAATGGGAACCACAAAATGAAGCTGTACAACCCACATAGCACCACAGAGTCCGCACAGACATAGGAGGCAATCCAGATCTGAACTGTAATAAATATGTAAAATAGTAGGGATGGAGATGGGTGCAAATGCAGAATCTCCCTCACAGGCAGCTGAGGTCTTGGGAAGCAAGGAAAGGTCTGGCTATAGCACAATATATTTACTATGATAAAGGGTGCAGGAAACATTTATCGCAAAAAGGTCAGATTTATGATGACCACAGGCCAGGAGGAGAAGGTAACAGGTCTTCAAAGAAAGATGATATAGGGAACATGAAGCCAAAGGTTCAAAGGAAGTTTGGGAAAAGGCAAAAAGGATGACATTGAGATTCCAACCAGGCACAGGAAAGGCACAACAAGGATGAATTTGGTTTTGAAAGTTTCTGGTTTTACAGCAGCCTTTTTTAACATTTTTTAGTTTACCTGATTCGGTTGGGTTTTTACCTCTCCCTTCCTTTCCCTCCTGTTCCTTCCTTTCATATTCTTCATCCTTGTTGTGCCTTTCCTGTGCCTGGTTGGAATCTCAATGACATCCTGATTGAACAGCCAGGTGAAGAACTGGGAAAGGTAAGAAATGGAAGGACAGGAGAGGCAGAAACCATGTCAGAGAGAATGACAATAAAAAGTAGTCCAACCTCGCTGGTAAACCACCAATGTGGAAGGTTGGACTGAGAGAAGCAACACACAGTGTCTTTTTGCAAGGGACCTGACAAAATCCACGTGTGAAGCCAGAGGGTGGGAATGGCAGGATGGAAGATGTCCTAATGAGGTTGATAAAAAAGAGAAGGAAACAGAGGAAGAGGCAACCAAGGCTGAGCCAGCAAAAATGGAGCCACCAAGAGAACTTGACACAGTGGTGTGGATGAGGGAGATTACTTTGGGGAAGAAACATAAAAGAGGGAAGGCAGAAATGTGAAAGTCCCTCCATTCTTGACTGAAGGCATTTACCCTTAAAGCCTGAGAATGAAGAGCCAGAAACCAGAAAGATGGCAGGTTGTTGTTCTGATGGGTGGCAAATGCATCTATGTGCAGGGTTTCCAGAGGAGAGCATAACCACTGGAAAACTGGAGGATCGAGGGACCACTCCATAGCAATGACCTTGTGCAGACGTGATAATTGATATGCAATAAGATTCAAAGCATCAGGAATATGTCAAGCCAAGAGCTGTATCCAGTGCTCATGGGCTCAGAATAGAAGCTAAAGAGTTCAAAAACAAAGAAACCCTCTTACTTGGTGATGTATGAGACCTCTGTGGAGTTGTTGGAATGCACCAAATCCACCTCCCCACCCCCTCAGAAGATGGAGGAAAAAGAGATGTAGCTTGAGGAACAGCTAAGAGCTCCAAAATGTTGAGATGAAATCTGGATTCAGCCAATGACCAACTCCCAGAAATCTCCTGGTTATTGAAATATGCACCCCAACCCACAAGAGAAGAATTGGTTAAAAGATCCAGGACCGGAAAAAGAAATGGAACAGCAGCTGTAGTATTGTCTTTGTCCAACCACCAAGCAAGGTTGGTCCAAAGGGAACCAGTTGATCCAAGAGATATGAGCTGAAGTTCCATCAATTGAGGAATTCCAACTGGAGGGAAAGTATGTGATCTTCCAAAGAAGCCCA